TTTTCCGCGCCGAAAAGCCAATGGTATGTAGAGTTTGTTTACTCAAAATATTGTACAGCTTTCCAAGAGCTATTTTTCTATGCTAAAGACTAGTTGATAGCTAAGCCAAGTTCAGCAAGTGGCTGGCTCATTTAGGAGATATAATGCTTCGAAAAATTGAAAGTCTCGTAAAAAAAGTGACTTATATTTACGAATCAGTAAACTGGTTATTGCTAGATTTTGCTGGATTGTCATTTTAAAGGATGATGCTTAAACTTCAAAATACGATGTTTTCCAGTTCAGTAGGTTACTTGGCTGAGGAGACAGGAGTTTTATACACCTTAGCGGACCTCATCTTTCTGGCTTGTACGCTTGGACAGATCGTATACAAGATATGTATCTACAACATATATAATAGCACTTTATTTTTGTCTCGATTGCATTTGCCATTGTATAATTAAAATATATTGACGAAATTAAATTTTTAAATAGACGATTAATATAAAAATAAACTTAAGAAATGTTTTGTTGAAGTCAAACTTACCTTTAATATGTGATACATAACGGGTGATGCAAAAGTTTTTTTCTTTTTTTTTTCCATAAACACGATATTCTAATTGTAATGGGGGGTTTTAATGCCAAAGTCGGACAACAAAGAAATGATGAAGAAAAATGTGTAGTGGGTAAGCATGGCTAAATATGTGATGGAAATGATAATGTTGAGAGATTTGTCGACTTATGCATGATGAACAATTTGGTAATTGAAAGTACGAAAATTCAGCACAAATGGAAACACAAGTACACGTGGAGGTCACAGATAAAAAGATTCGAAATCAAATTGACCACATAGCAGTTTGTGGTAAGTGGATGACCTTGTTAAAAGATGTCAGAACGTACAGGAGTGCTGACATAAATAGTGATCATGAATTGGTTGTTGGAAAGAGAAAATAAAGCTAAGAGCTTGTAAAGATAACAAAGATAAGATAATTTCAAGAAAGTTAAACCTAGCTGAACTACAAGATAAACAACTACAACAAGAATTAAAAAAAATAAAAGAAAAATAAAAGAAAATGGATTGCAGATCTGTCTAAAGAAGCTGAAGAGGCGGCAGAAAAAAGGAAGGACTCAGAAACTATATAAAGTAGTGGAAGAAATATGCACAAAAAGTAAGGTTGCAAATGAGCTGCCAGTTAAAAGTAATGATGGTACCTCTAATAACAACAATAGAAAGAAGGAAAAAGTTATTATTAAAGAGTTATTTATTAGTTGTTATAAAAGAAGGAAAGAGTCGAGTATCAGACAATATCAAGAAAGGTTGCAATTACTCTAAATGCAGTTTCGAAGCATTATATCTCCTAAATGAGCCAGTCACTTGCTGAACTTTGCCTAGCTATCATTTTCAAGAGAAATACTTAAAATAAAACGTTTTCCAACTTTCTAGAGTACTTGACTGAAGAGCTATGAATTTCACAAAACGAGCAAAAGTATGAATTTTTACAAATGAGCAAAAGTGGACTTTTATGTGAACAGGTTGTATGATTCTGTAATCAATTTGTAAATTTCCTATTCATTCTATGAATTTGAATCGATATTCACCATCGCCATGATACATCGATGTTTGAACATACCATTTTCCACGAAATTCATTTATTTTCTCATTCCAATCTAATTGTATTTCGACATTATGTCCTAAATTTTGTTTTCTATCACCTGTACCTAGTTTATAAGTTTTTGTTATACCCATGCGTAATGTTTCAATTGAATAGATTCCCGTTATAGTAAATTCACCAATATCATCACGACCGTAACCATGAACACACTCATTGAAGTTTAATGGATGACTTGGTATTGAATACTTTATTCCATATTGATAATAACTAGCACACCAAGTCCCTGCATTTGAATATAAAAACAAATAGCATTTCAAAATATGCAACATAAGCCTAAAATCTTCCGACGATATTATGTTCAAAATATGTTTAATAATTAATTAACCTACTATTGATAATCTAAATATCCTTCTACTACAACATATGAAATTTTTGCATAGTTTCCGTCAACCGAATGAAAAATAACTGAGGATTACTGGACATTACCAAGCTTAGACATCTACGATGCTTATGATAAAGTAAAGGAGTAGCTTCTACAAAATGAAATTTATATTGCTCATTGGAACTGTTTCTTGATTTAAACTACGTAGAAACTTTGGCGAATTCTCCAGTCTACAAGTTTATGAATATTTATTTCAGAAAAGTTTAACTAATACTAGTTTAAGGGACAAAAAGTTTTGAGCTAGTGATCATATAGATAAACACTTCAGTTGCAGTGTGTCAGCTTCAACTACTGCTGCTTCATTCGAACGTTATGAAGCTTTGGAATACTAGAGTGAAATATGAATGTAAATTGATATTTCAAAAAAATCACAGCTGCTGAATGAAATAGTTCCTGGAACTGATCATGAGCTACTTATTATCTTATAGTTGAAGTATTTATAAAGCTGTCCTGGCTGATTTTCTTTTAAACCTATATTCTATTCAAAAGACAGGTTTGGCAAGTAATAGCATCAAATTTTCAGAACTCATCAACATTGGCATGTAAAAATATTTCATGATCTGCACACTTTACTCTGTAGTATGTGTACGACGTCTCACTGGAGTTCTGGAAACATATTTAGAAATGTTCTCTTGTAAGCACAGTGAAAGACGCGCATTGACTGATATACCTTCAGGAACTTTGGAAATACAAGCGAATTTCTTGAAGAAATATAATAAAATCAGTGGTAATTCCTTGGGGATAGGTAATGCTTTGTCAGTGATCACCTAATAGGAAATTGTTACTCGTATTTTTGTCACTTATGTTCTTCTTTCACAAATATAGTAAGAGAGTCCGCATTATTCGGAATTTATAAACAACACTAGTAGTTTATTCTCGCTTGATTTCGATAGACGAAACATACCTAGGGATGCACCAAATCCTGCGACCATGTCTCAAAGGTTGCATATTTTTGATATTTAAAACCCTAAACTTTAGCCAACTTTTGTGTCAGACATAACCAGTTTTATCTGTTCTATCCGAAACTAGTATTGAATTTTATCAAATTTAAAAATAAGCCGCTGAATTTGGTAGAGTTTGGTGAAAACTACTTTTTTTCTTCATTTTTCACCAAACCCTACCAAATCCAGCGGCTTATTTTTAAATTTGATAAAATTCAATACTAGTTTCGGATAGAACAGATAAAACTGGTTATGTCTGACACAAAAGTTTGCTAAAGTTTAGGGTTTTAAATACCAAAAATATGCAACCTTTGAGACATACTCGCAGGATTTGGTGTATCCCAAAACATACCTGATTTGAAAATTTTTTGATTATTTTCGAATATATTCGTGTTTTTCATTGATTTTGTACTTATCCATTGTTCATGTGTTTCATTTAGTTTTCCTTTATATGGATAGTAACACTTATAATAAAAGTATATACATAATCCAGATAAACTACTGACTAATGTAATCCCGATTATGGTTAATGTCTTGCATAGTTTTGTAGTACAATTAAATTCTCTACTACTATAATGAGTGCTACGATGACTTCGACGATAACTGCTCCTGCTGCTTCCTCTACTCCCTCCGCCTTGTGAACAAACTGTTTGAATAAGTACCACCAAAATAATAATATTACAAACAACAATGAAGGATTTCATTATTTTTTAGAGCAGTGCCTAAATAAATTAAATAACAGAATCATAAACATAAATATAAAAGTTAATCTACAGAATAAACAAAGGAAATAGTAATGGTATAGCAGCAGTGTCAAGTTCGAGAATTCTAAGGAAATTCACAGAACTGACCGAACTCGACAAATTTAATAAATATTAATTCTTGGATTCTGCGTAGATTCCGATAGAACTCGAATTCTTATTCTACTAGAATCTGATCATCTGACAGAATTATAGCAGAATTGGACTAGAACCTGCCAATTCGTAGAAAGAATGTAAAAGAAGGGGATTGGGCGTGAAAATGAGAAACTACTGTTTGAAGTCTACTGAATTCTAAAATTTCCAAGGAATTGTGGAACTCGACACCACGCAGTATATAAAGTTTTCATTGGTAAATGGTAACTAGTTAACTGATGCTAATTCATAAGTATTTCATTATCCACTAGAAACAGCGTTTGATCTGTATACAACAGTATAATTTTCACTTGCATGCAAACCAGTTCTAACTAACTGGAATTGATGAGAACTTGCGCTCGGAAAGAGTCTTGATTATATGTTGAACGCTATATTTGAAGAGTGACATTAGAATTGGGTGGGTTTGACCTCCCATTTAAAAGTATTTGACAGGAAAACATCACCAGACTTTCGCTAGACGGATTAAACTATTTTCTTTGAAAGCAACTGTCGCTTTTAAATATCCAAAGTCTCAATTCGTTTTTATTCGATACCTTTTTTGTATTGCGAGCGATTCAATTAGACTCAGGACATATTATACAAAAATGTCGTCACAAAACTACTACTCATCTTAGATATAATATCCATAGCTCCCAGTCACAAATCGGGCATTAGAAACATCTATTATATAAGCTTTATTTGATAACTATGATGTGGTGTACAATAAAAAATGAAGCAGAACAGAACAAGAAGAAAGAGGCTAACTCATTATATCTTTTTGTTTTGTCGATGTTACATTGCACAGAAAGAAAGAAAAAAGAAAAGAGGGAAAAAATGCATCTGAAAGCGAAGAAATGAACTATTAATATTATATTAATATATTAAACAAATTATTTGAAAACAGTTCGAAGACACTTCGTTGGTATATTCTGATATATCAAGACTTTCAACTCGAGGCCAAAATTGAGAGTCACTACAACTTGTTTGAGTTGTGTTATGTATTATATTATACTCGTACTTTGTACAAAGTTGGGGCTCAGTTGGACGCGAGTGAAATGCTATTAAAACTCCAACATCCAACATATTAATTCATATTTGGCGAAACACTTTAAATTCAATATTACAAACAATAACTAATATAATAATGGATTCTCAGTATAGACTGGAAATTTACGTATACAATGGACGACGGATTCTATCCTAGACGAGAGTCCCGGCAGAAGTTCCGCGGGTGTCCCGTTTTGTAAAAAACTCCCGATGGACTCCCGCGAGACTCCCTAGGGAGTATTTTTCTCAAAAAATCCATAGTAACTTCTTTTTCATGAAATGCATTAAATCTAAGAGATTTCTTAGTGCATAGACTCAGTTTATGTTTGCTGCGATCTCAAAAGATCTCAAAATAAAACTGCACAGAAGTGAGAAATGCATGAAAGATTGATGCTATAACAATTGTGAGTATCTTCGGTGTAATATCGCTTTGCCGTTAGTGACTCTCAGGATGTAGCGATGATCAGTTCGGTTCTGTTTGACGCACGGAGGATTGGGGCTCAGCCATTCCGCTTCATTCGTAGAATATTAGATTGATAACTAACTGATCCTAGTGATAATATCTACGGATATACATTCTCTGAAAGTTCAAGCGTGAATGTTTTCTTCACATATGGCAAACGTTACCTTACGGTAAAACTCACAGGCGAGCTATAAAACATTTAACCACTGTCACTTTTATTCTGCGATCAAATGCCAGTTATATGGCAAATCATAATTGAGACATACATGAGAAAAAACTATTCAAATAGTTCTTACTACTCTACAACTTCAAAGTGAGTCTGAAGTGAATAATTGACCCTGATTGCATTATGTTCCCGAAGAGAAAACCGGGTAAAAC